TTTTTTCCCGTTCTCTTAATTTAACTTGTTCCTCACGTACTCTAGCTCTCTCCTCATGATCAAGTCTATCATGCTCCTTTTGTCTTCTCTCTCTCTTTCTAACTGTTATCTTGGTTTTCTCTTCAATTCAATCTCTCTCCTTTTTATCCTCTCTTTCTCTTTCTAATGTTCTTTCTTGAATTCTCTCTCTCTTTCTTTCTCTCTCCTTATTCTCTTCTCTTTCGATTCTCTCTCTCTCCTTTTCTTCTTCTCTTTCCCTTTCTGTCTTTCTTCTCTCTAAATTTCTCTCTCTTTCAAGTCTTTCCTGGATCTTAGCACTAATGAAAGATTTCAAAATTTTTCCCTGTTATTCCTAACTTACTTCCAGCGTTCATCCAAAACTGGTATTCCTCCATGCTTGCAAGATAACTTAAACTATGGGGGAAATAAAACGGGCATTAAAGAAAACGGAGGGTTCAATTACTGCTCCACTCAAACTGTAAATAAACCAGAGGGCTCGATCCCTGCTTAAATTAACAATATATATTAATGAAAAGGGAAAGGGTTCTATGCTGGCTCCAGCAAACAGTAAGTAGAATGGGGTCACTTGACCATCCAATTCTTCTCACCAACAAATCAAGAGTGTCCTACAACAGTTCCCTTGATAAAATAAAAAGCTCAATGAAACAAATTGTCACTGGAAAATCTCGGGTCCCTAGAGTCTAATCCTCCAAAGTGTTTCAAGCTCGAACAAAAAGGTGGCAGAAATTAAAAAATTATATCCTGCCTGACTTGACCCTTTCAAAAAATTGAGAATTAACAATCACCAAATCTTTTAAATACCTGTACTGTAGTCCTACCATAGAGAATGATTACTCATGGCTGGTGGTAACCGTCTGTGGTATGCGGCGTTGAAGTTCGAATGGTAGATTCGAGATGGAATTGAATCTTGATTCAGTCGAGTTGATCCTGGCAAGGTCGCCACTTGTGAAGGCTTACTCAGCCCTGTAACAACTTCAGACAGTTTACCAAGGCTGGCTCCTCCTCAGGAAATTAATGGGAAAAGAAAAAGAATAAAAACTGACAAACATAAACACTTTATTATTTAGAAAATATAAAATATAAAACACTTAAATATGAAATATTAATCCTACCTTAAAGAAAATGAAAAATGAAAATATAAATGATATCTGAATTCAACGTAATTATATATATATATATATATATATATATATTATATTATTATATATATATATATATAATATATATATATATATATATATATATAAAACGTGGGTGTCTGGTGTTGGTGCACTGTGTGTTGTTGAAATCGTAGCCGTTGCCGCTGAGGGGGGGGGAGGTCGCAGGTGTTGATGACAACCCCCCGGCTCGTTCTTCACAGATTTTATAGCCGTCAATTTAAACCATCCCGATGACAGGAAAGCAGGTTTTTTTCCACTGCAATGATGAGGGGTTATATCCTGCTACTTGCATACACAAACAGGTAAGTGGATCAGAAATTGGGACGTCTCAGAACGTTAGTCCGTCTCCTTCAATTCTACTCGTTGATTGGCAGGTGACCCTCTCTGTCATTTCAAGCTGTAAAGAGCGACAGATTACCCACTGCTTAAGAAATCACTCTCCATGATAAGTACAATACCTAAAAGATGTGGTGATTATTAAAACATTTAACCTATCAAGACTGAAAGGACTAAGTTAATTATTGGTCAAAAGTGAAGCTTTCAACCACTAAAATATGATCAGGCATGTACTTACAGTAGTGTTGGGAGCTGTGAATCGAGTGGTTTACTGTTTGACCGGAGCCCCACACATCACCTTTCGGGGGGGGGGGGGGGAGAAGGGAGGGGAAGGGATAGCGGGAGCTAGACCGACCCTACCTTAACAAGCAGCCGGCAATCAAACTATTGTTACTATATACTCCCTCGCTACTCCTATCTATTGAACTTTTCCCTCACAATCTCTTAAATGACATGTATCCAAACCAGTGTCTAGAAAGAACCAACTTTGTAGCAGCTGAGGTATGGTCAATGCACATACCCCTAAGGAAAAAGAAGAGAAGATGTTAACTAGAGAGAGAGAGACTCACTCTGCAGGTGAAGATGAAGAATCACTTAGCTCTTCTAAGAGGGGCTAGAAACACTGGCTAGGAAAATAGAAAATACTGAACTTAAGTTAAATGAATTTTACAGGATCCAGGAGAGACAGGAGCTAAAAGTCATATATGAAATTGGAAGAAATCTCAAATATTTCTTTACATATGTCAAAAACAAGGCAAAAAACCCATCCAGTAATGGGTCCTTGCTCAAACAACATGGGACGTACCCTGATGACAGCAAAGAAATGAGTGAAATACTGAAGTTTTAATATGATCTGTTTAGTGAGCCGTTAATAAACTCAAAATCAACAATGCAACTAATTAATTTTATGAACGAAACTCAAAATCTTGTCAACTTTTCCAAAATTTGTGACATAACCGGACTTTGAAAAAAGCCACTGACGACATGCCCATACACTCTTCTCCAGGCCCTGACTCGTAGAACTCTGTGTTCATCAATAACTGCAAGAAACCCCAATCATGTGCCTTAAATATTCTATGGAGAGGGGGCCTAGACATGGGGGTCATCCCACAGTCACTAAAAACAACAAATATAACCCCATTCCACAAAGGTAGCAGTAAACAATAGCAAAGAATTACAGACTGATAGCATTAACGTCCCACATAAAAATCTTTGAGAGCGTTCAAAGAAGGAAGATCGCCAACCACTTGGATACATGTAGGGGGGGAGTATACATGGAAGGGGTTTCGGGGATCAAAGCCAGTGTGGCCCGGTCCATGACCCAGGGCAGCATGGGTTTAGAGTTGATCGCTCCCGCCTCTTACAACTACTGGACTACTATGACATAGTCTTGGATACACTGGAGAACAAACAGAATGCAGATGTAATATATACAGACTTTGTGAAAGCCTTCAACAAGTGCTTTCATGGCGTAATGACACAAAATGCGCGATAAAGGAATAACAGGAAAAGTTGGTAGATGGATCTATAACATAAGCAACATTCACCTTAGTACTACATAATTAACATAACCAATATTCACACAAGAACTACAACATTTTTATACGCAACATTCACATACATAACATTCACGTAAGCAACATTCACATAACTACAATATTCACATAACTGCAACATTCACATAACTGCAACATTCACATAACTGCAACATTCACATAACTGCAACATTCACATACGCAACATTCACATAACTGCAACTTCACATATGCAACATTCACATAACTGTAACATTCACATACGCAACATTCACATAACTGCAATATTCAAATAAGCACTGCAGCATTACTGCTACTACTATCAGCACTACTGCTACTACTACTACTACTACTTCTAGTGTCAATAATAACGCTAGCACCACCACTACTACTACTACTACTGCTGCTGCTTCTAAAATTTATACTGGTGCTGCTACTACTACTAGAACTACTCTTAATAGTGCTACTACTGCTACGATTACTACTGCTTCTACTACACCTATTACCACCACTCCTACTGCTACATATACTACTAATACTGCTACTTATTCTACTACTACAATTAGTACCACTAGTATTGCTACTACTACTACTACTACCAGTACTGCTACAACTATTACTACTAAAACAACTTGTATTACTATTACTTCTAATACTACCCCCACCCAACCACTACCACCGTTATTACTACCACTACAAATGCCACATTCATATTAGAAGGGACATAAACCTCACAAAGGCAATGCAATGTGTACACAAGAAACAATGCACCATACAACATATACAAAATATACGTAAAGAATACTTAACACAGTGCAAGTATCCTCTTTAACGTATGGTGATGCATGCGTTATGTGTCCTTGCTCCTGTGTGTCTTGGTCGCCAGTTTCGCAAATACCGGAGCTGTTATTGGGCAGATGTCCTTTTTTGATCTTTTACTGGTTAGATTTTCACTTGTTATTGTGATGGCATTGGTCAGTTCTTCAGTTTCGTGCGCTATTAGTCATATCTTCATAAGTTCTTAGGCCATTATTGGTCAGATCTTTATGAATTCCTGGGCTGTTATTGGTCAGATTTTCAAAAGTTCTTGAACTGTCATTGGTCAGGCCTTTACAAGTTCTTGAGTTATTATTGGTCAGACCTTCATAATTTACTGGGCTGTTATTGGTCAGTTTTTCACAAGTTCTTAGGCTGTCATTGGTCAGGCCTTCACAAGTTCCCGAGTTGTCATTGGTCAGATCTTCATAAGCTAATGGGCTGTTATTGGTCAGATTTTCACAGGTTGAAAGACTGTCATTGGCTAGTTCATCACAAATGACTGGCCAAATCTTCATGCTCCTGGCTTATAATTGGTCGAGTATTCTTAGTCACATTTGCTCACTGCTAACGTAAGTTTGGCTTCTGTTTCAGCAAATTGTGTTTTTGTCGGTGTTCAGTTATTCGCATAAAACCCAGAACCTATCAATGATAAGACACTGTTAATGATATAACCCAGAGCAATCAATGAAAAGACATTGATTATGACAGGTCAACAGCAAGATTCCGGGAGCAGTAATCATACGGAATAATCCGTTGTACCCCCTTTAAAACCAACAACAATAATGACAGGGTCTTGTTTCGATTGTCCGCAAAATTTGGGTTTGAGTCGTTCTTTCAAATGGACGCAAAGTGAAGTTGTCAAGTGGTTCTTTAAAACAAGAACCAACTGAAAGTGTCAGGTCAAGCTGTCCTTTCAAGTGGGGTCAGTAGAAGTGAGTGGTTTTAAGAGGCAGGCCACCGGACCGTACCTGGCAGCCGGTGTCAGGGTCAGCGTAGTAGCCAGGAGCCTGACCAACACAGTTGAAGGAAGTGACTGGTATAGTGCCCAACTGTGGGTACGTTCCGTCATCCTGCAGGACAAGGAGTAACTAGTTAGTGAATACACCAAACTTTATACATCAGTGTTTATATTATCATCTGTTTTATCCTCACATAATGTATCTTGCATTGCCATTGTTATTATGTGTATGTACTCACCTAGTTGTGGTTGCAGGGGTCGAGTCATAACTCCTGGCCCTGCTTCTTCGCTGGTCGCTACTAGGTCCCCTCTCTCCCTTTCCCATGAACTTTATCGAACCTCTTCTTAAAGCTATGTATGGATCCTGCCTCCACTACATCACTCTCCAGATTGTTCTACTTCTTCACAACTCCATGATTAAAGAAATACTTCCTAACATCCCTGTGACTCGTGTGTGTGTGTGTGTGTGTGTGTGTGTGTGTGTACCCACCTATTTGTGGTTGCAGGGGCCGATTTATAGCCCCTGGCCCCGTCTCTTAACTGATCGCTACTAGGTCCTCTCTCCCTGCTCCATGAGCTTTATCAAACCTCGTCTTAAAACTATGTATGGTTCCTGCCTCCACTACGTCACTTGCCAGACTATTCTACTTCCTGACAACTCCATGATTAAAGAAATACATGTACTTCTTAACATCCCTTTGGTTATCTGAATCTTCAGGTTCCAATTGTGGCCCCTTGTTTGTGTCCCATCTCTGGAACATCCTGTCTCTGTCCACCTTGTCAATTCCTCGCAGTATTTTGTATGTCGTTATCATGTCTTCCCTAACCCTCCTGTCCTCCAGTGTCGTCAGGTCGATTTCCCTTAACCTTTCTCCGCAGGAGAAATCTTTGTACTTTCTCTAATTTCTTGACGTGCTTAACCAGGTGTGGGTTCCAAACTAGTGCTGCATACTCCAGTATGGGCCTGACGTACATGGTGTAGAGTCTTGAACGATTCCTTACTGAGGTATCGGAACGCTATTTTTAGGTTTGCCAGACGCCCATATGCTACAGCAGCTATCTGGTTGATGTGTACCTCAGGAGATGTGTTCGATATTATACTCACTTCAAGATCCTTTTCCTTGAGTGAGGTTTGCAGTCTTTGGCCACCTAGCCAATACTCTGCGGTCTTCTTTGCTCTTCCCCAGACCAGGCTTGCAACCTGTCCAGATCTCTTTGTAGTCCTGCCTGATCCTCATCCAATTTAATTCTTCTCATTAAATTCATATCATCTGCAAACAGGGACATTTCTGAGTCTATCCCTACCGTCATGTCATTCACCTATACCAAAAATAGCACTTGTCCTAGGACTGACCCCTGTGGAACCCCACTCATCACAGGCGCCCACTCTGACACCTCGTTATGTACCATGATTCGTTGTTGCCTCTCTGTCAGGTATTCTCTGATCCACTGCAGTGCCCTTCCTGCAATGTATGCCTGACCTCTAGCTTTTGCACTAATCTCTTGTGAGTATCTGTGTCGAAGTCCTTCTTGTAATCCAAGAAAATGCAATCTATCCAGTCTTCTCGTGTCTCACTTCTGTTACCTTGTCATAAAACTGTCATAAAAATCCTGTGTCACTGATCTGTGACACAGGATTTTCCTTCCCTGAATCCATACTGGTCATTGTTTAAAATCTTGTTCTGTTCAAGGTGCTCCACCACTCTCCTCCTGATAATCTTCTCCATGACTTTGCATATTATATATGTCAATGACACTGGTCTGTAGTTTAGTGCCTCACATCTGTCTCCTTTCTTAAAAATGGGGACTACATTTGCTGTCTTCCATACCTCAGGTAGTTGCCCAGTTTCAATGGATGTGTTGAAAACTGTTGTTAGTGGCACACACAGTCTCTGCTCCCTCTCTAAGGGCCCATGAAGAGATGTCCGGTCCCACCATCTTTGAGGTATCAAGTTCACTTAGCAGCTCCTTCACCTCTAGCAGGAAGTTCCTCATGCCTATGTAGTTCCTCCTTTTGTAGTTTTGTTTTACCCATCCTACTCCTGTTACCCTCTCCACTTGTAACCCTACTATGTATTCATAACTCAGGACCACGTGATCACTAGCTCCGAGGGGCCTTTTATTTGTGATGTCCTCAATGTCTGAGCTGCTCAGGGTGAATACGAGGTCCAGTCTTGCTGGTTCATCCTCACCTCTCTCTCTCTGGTAGTATCCCTAACATGTTGGCTTTCCATGTGTCGAGACCCCCATGTGGCTCCAGGTTTTCCCAATCCATCTCCTTGTGATTGAAATCACCCATAAGGTGGTTCTAAAGGAGGTTGTATTTTTTCTTCCTCCTGAATCAGGGTTCTCCTGCTCATCTCCGTCTTTGCTTCTCTTTCCTCCTTGCAACTTTGTACCCTCTCTTTCAGTTTGTTTTTCTTCTTGTGTTCTATCATGGTCTAGGTACACCGTCTAGTACATCGGTATGTCCCTTAGTCATGCTTTCTCCTGCAGGATCCTGTTTTGAGCCGATTCTGCCTTGAAGATCACTTTGACTGGTCAGTTTTTTTCCCATGCAAATCCCCCTATTCTCAGAAAAAATTGCCAACTGGGTTATGTCGTCCTCTTCTACTGCTTTCATGATACTTTCAATCACTTTCGTCTCCCCCTGTCTTCTTCATAAGTTTTCCCTTCAACTTCCTGAACCCCATAAACAAAGACTGACCTCTCCCTTTCATTCTCCCACTGCATTTCCCTTTGCATCCCATGAGTTGATTTAGTTGCCCCCATTGCAGCATTTCGTTCTGTGTGTGTATGTTTTGTGTACTCCTGGCCCTGCCTCTTCACTGATAGCTACTAGGTCCTCTCTCTCCCTGCTCCATGAGCTTTATCATACTTCGTCTTAAAACCATGCGTGGTTCCTGCCTCCACTACATCACATGCCAGATTATTCCACCTCCTGACAACTCTATGGCTAGGAAATATTTTCTAACATCTCTTTGACTCATCTGAGTCTTTAACTTCCAATTGTGTGATTACATATTTGTAAGTACAGTACCAGAGTTATGTTCGTGCTGTCTCGTCTTCAATACTCTCTTCATCGTATAAATTTTTAATATTTCTAATTGTTGCAGCACTTACTAATTCCTCCTTTAATGCATTCATTCCACTGGTCAACATTTGAGGAAAAATTCTGTCTAGTCTACTATGTTTCCAACCTCAAATCTCACAAAAGACCACAAGTTATTATTCAAGTATTTATATCCTTAATTATTAAATCAGGGGTAAAATATAGATGAGACTGAACCTTAATACAGGTATAACAAAAGAACATAAGTGGAATTGCTCCCTTTAAAGGGAGTGAGGGAGTGAGCAGCTGGATGCATATTTCAAATATAAACTCACTGTCTGCTGTGCTGTTACTCCACTGTTGCAGGAAGTTAGAGAGAAGAGGAGAAAGATGAAGAGGTGGGGGAGGCGCCGCAGGGGTCGCTGGAGAGAGAGGATGGAGAGAGTGTGCTGGAGGAAGATGGTGGCGGCGGCGATCATGGCTCTCCCAGAATAACGTAGTCTCCCTCCTCGCCACATCCACTTTAATGTTGTTTTCTGTATCCTTGTCTGCCACCTTGATAGGTTTTCTATGATGGCTGGCAGGCCCAGGCAAACTCTGCAAGTAAACAAGTCGGTAAGTAAGTTTATTTAGGCACAGGTACCCATAAGTACAATTATCATACAGTGTAAATTACCCAAGATAACCCCCAAAAAGTCAATTTGCGTATATGGGTTAGGTTAAGTTACGTAAGGTTCGTCAGGAAACAGGATCTTAGCCAGATGACGACCTGCCGTTGGAGCTTTTGGTCATCTGATAGAGGCCTTCCGCTGGCTTACCGGTCCACCCTTTTAAAAATTATGGTCAGTTATAACCATTTAGTTATTACTGTGTATACCACATCATTAGTGACTTTTGTACTTACCAATATTTTATTGCACGTAAACTACATTACTTGTATACTGCAGAATTTTTTTTTTATCACACTGGCCGATTCCCACCAAGGCAGGGTGGCCCGAAAAAGAAAAACTTTCACCATCATTCACTCCATCACTGTCTTGCCAGAAGGGTGCTTTACACTACAGTTTTTAAACTGCAACATTAACACCCCTCCTTCAGAGTGCAGGCACTGTACTTCCCATCTCCAGGACTCAAGTCCGGCCTGCCGGTTTCCCTGAACCCCTTCATAAATGTTACTTTGCTCACACTCCAACAGCACGTCAAGTATTAAAAACCATTTGTCTCCATTCACTCCTATCAAACACGCTCACGCATGCCTGCTGGAAGTCCAAGCCCCTCGCACACAAAACCTCCTTTACCCCCTCCCTCCAACCTTTCCTAGGCCGACCCCTACCCCGACCCCTACCCCTACCTCCACAGTGGTCTTGAGTGTACCGATTTTCTGGACGCGTTATGAAGGTTTAGCCAATTAAGTTTGTGGAAATTTATTGGGACTAAAAATTCCACCTTCGGGTTCGTATGCAAATATCCTGGTATCGTCAGCAAAGGAGGACACGGTGCTGTGGCTTACATCTCTGTCTGTGTCAGATATGACGATGAAGAAAAGGATAGGGGCGAGTACTGTGCCTTGTGGAACAGAGCTTTTCACTGTAGCCGCCTCTGACTTTACTCTCTTTATTATTACTCTTTGTATTCTATTTGTTAGGAAGTTATAGATCCGTCTACCCACTTTCCTGTTATTCCTTTATCACACATTTCGTGTGCTATTACGACATGGCTGCACTTGTTGAAGTCTTTCACAAAGTCTGTGTATCTCATAAAAGGAAATGTCAAAGCCACTACATACAAAATTTATTTTTAATTAAGTATATATAAAATAAACTGTCGTATCTGAGCGCCTCTGCGAAGACAGTGATTATGTATGAGTGAGGTGAAAGTGTCGAATGAGGATAAAAGTATTTTCTTTTTGCGGATATTCTTTCTTTTTGGGTCACCCTGCCTCGGTGGGAGAAGACCGACGAGTTGAAAAAAAAAATAAAATAAATAAAACTCAGTTTTTATGTACTGAATAGAATATATATATATAATATATATATATATATATATATATATATATTATAATATATATATATATATATATATATATATATTATATATATATATATATATGTATTGATGAATATAGTATTTAGGTTTAAAATATTAAAGTTTTAAAACTTAAATATATATCATTAAAATAACTACCTAGTTCCCACTCATGAAAGGCATTATAACTAGCTAGTTCCCACTCATGAAAGGCATTATAACTACCTAGTTCCCACTCATGAGGGGCTTTATAACTACCTAGTTCCCACTCATGAAAGGCATTATAACTACCTAGTTCCCACTCATGAAAGGCATTATAACTACCTAGTTCCCACTCATGAAAGGCATTATAACTACCTAGTTCCCACTCATGAAAGGCATTATAACTACCTAGTTCCCACTCATGAGAGGCTTTATAATTACCTAGTTCCCACTCACGAAAGGCATTATAACTACCTAGTTCCCACTCATGAGGGGCTTTATAACTACCTAGTTCCCACTCATGAAAGGCATTATAACTACCTAGTTCCCACTCATGAGAGGCTTTATAATTACCTAGTTCCCACTCACGAAAGGCATTATAACTACCTAGTTCCCACTCATGAGGGGCTTTATAATTACCTAGTTCCCACTCATGAAAGGCATTATAACTACCTAGTTCCCACTCATGAGGGGCTTTATAACTACCTAGTTCCCACTCATGAAAGGCATTATAACTACCTAGTTCCCACTCATGAGGGGTTTTACAACTAACTAGTTCCCACTCATGAAAGGCATTATAACTACCTAGTTCCCACTCATGAAAGGCATTATAACTACCTAGTTCCCACTCATGAAAGGCATTATAACTACCTAGTTCCCACTCATGAAAGGCTTTATAACTACCTAGTTCCCACTCATGAAAGGCATTATAACTACCTAGTTCCCACTCATGAGGAGCTTTATAACTACCTAGTTCCCACTCATGAAAGGCATTATAACTACCTAGTTCCCACTGATGAAAGGCATTATAACTACCTAGTTCCCACTCATGAGGGGCTTTATAACTACCTAGTTCCCACTCATGAGGGGCTTCATAATCACCTAGTTCCCACTCATGAAAGGCATTATAACTACCTAGTTCCCACTCATGAGGGGCTTTATAACTATCTAGTTCCCACTCATGAGGGGCTTTATAACTACCTAGTTCCCACTCATGAAAGGCATTATAACTACCTAGTTCCCACTCATGAGGGGCTTTATAACTATCTAGTTCCCACTCATGAAAGACATTATAACTACCTAGTTCCCACTCATGAGGGGCTTTATAACTACCTAGTTCCCACTCATGAGGGGCTTTATACCTAGTTCCCACTCATGAGGGGCTTCATAATCACCTAGTTCCCACTCATGAAAGGCATTATAACTACCTAGTTCCCACTCATGAGGGGCTTTATAATCACCTAGTTCCCACTCATGAAAGGCATTATAACTAGCTAGTTCCCACTCATGAGGGGCTTTATAACTACCTAGTTCCCACTCATGAGGGGCTTCATAATCACCTAGTTCCCACTCAAGAAAGGCATTATAACTAGCTAGTTCCCACTCATGAGGGGCTTTATAACTACCTAGTTCCCACTCATGAGGGGCTTTATAACTACCTAGTTCCCCCTCATGAGGGGCTTTATAACTACCTAGTTCCCACTCATGAAAGGCATTATAACTAGCTAGTTCCCACTCATGAGGGGCTTTATAACTACCTAGTTCCCACTCATGAAAGGCATTATAACTACCTAGTTCCCACTCATGAAAGGCATTATAACTACCTAGTTCCCACTCATGAAAGGCTTTATAAACTACCCAGTTCCACTCATGAAAGGCTTTATACTACCCAGTTCCCACTCATGAAAGGCATTATAACTACCTAGTTCCCACTCATGAGGGGCTTTATAACTACCTAGTTCCCACTCGTGAAAGGCATTATAACTACCTAGTTCCCACTCATGAGGGGCTTTATAACTACCTAGTTCCCACTCATGAGGGGCTTTATAACTACCTAGTTCCCACTCATGAAAGGCATTATAACTAGCTAGTTCCTACTCATGAGGGGCTTTATAACTACCTAGTTCCCACTCATGAAAGGCATTATAACTAGCTAGTTCCCACTCATGAAAGGCATTATAACTACCTAGTTCCCACTCATGAAAGGCATTATAACTACCTAGTTCCCACTCATGAGGGGCTTTATAACTACCTAGTTCCCACTCGTGAAAGGCATTATAACTAGCTAGTTCCCACTCATGAGGGGCTTTATAACTACCTAGTTCCCACTCATGAGGGGCTTTATAACTACCTAGTTCCCACTCATGAAAGGCATTATAACTAGCTAGTTCCCACTCATGAGGGGCTTTATAACTACCTAGTTCCCACTCATGAAAGGCATTATAACTAGCTAGTTCCCCCTCATGAGGGGCTTTATAACTACCTAGTTCCCACTCATGAAAGGCATTATAACTACCTAGTTCCCACTCAGGAGGGGCTTTATAACTACCTAGTTCCCACTCATGAAAGGCATTATAACTACCTAGTTCCCACTCATGAAAGGCATTATAACTACCTAGTTCCCACTCATGAGGGGCTTTATAATTACCTAGTTCCCACTCATGAAAGGCATTATAACTACCTAGTTCCCACTCATGAAAGGCATTATAACTACCTAGTTCCCACTCATGAGGGGCTTTATAACTACCTAGTTCCCACTCATGAAAGGCATTATAACTACCTAGTTCCCACTCATGAAAGGCATTATAACTACCTAGTTCCCCCCCATGAGGGGCTTTATAACTACCTAGTTCCCACTCGTGAAAGGCATTATAACTACCTAGTTCCCCCCATGAGGGGCTTTATAACTACCTAGTTCCCACTCATGAAAGGCATTATAACTACCTAGTTCCCCCCCATGAGGGGCTTTATAACTACCTAGTTCCCACTCGTGAGGGGCTTTATAATAAAGAACTTATTTTGAAAGTTCAGTTTTTTATGATAGAGAACTTTATAATTTGTAATGTGATGTGCAGCATGGTAAGTGGTTCAATATTTGTAATGTGATGTGCAGCATGGTAAGTGGTTCAATATTTGTAATGTGATGTGCAGCATGGTAAGTGGTTCAATATTTGCAATGTGATGTGCAGCATGGTAAGTGGTTCAATATTTGTAATGTGATGTGCAGCATGGTAAGTGGTTCAATATTTGTAATGTGATGTGCAGCATGGTAAGTGGTTCAATATTTGTAATGTGATGTGCAGCATGGTAAGTGGTTCAATATTTGCAATGTGATGTGCAGCATGGTAAGTGGTTCAATATTTGTAATGTGATGTGCAGCATGGTAAGTGGTTCAATATTTGCAATGTGATGTGCAGCATGGTAAGTGGTTCAATATTTGCAATGTGATGTGCAGCATGGTAAGTGGTTCAATATTTGTAATGTGATGTGCAGCATGGTAAGTGTTTCAATATTTGATATATTTTTCTTGGGAAGTGCTAATCCTACAAGACAAACAATTTCTTGGGAATGGAAAGCAACTGAGTTTGATC